AAATCACTGGCTGCTCTTCCAGAAGACCCAGGTTTAGTTCCAGCACCCATGTGGCAGCTAACAACCATCCGTACTGTAGCTCCAGGTGATCTGATGCCTTCTTCTGTCCTCTGTGGGCACTGCACAAAATGGGTGCCCTTACATACATGCTGGCAAAACACTCATACACATACAATATAAAAAATTTAAACACTTGGGGAATAGTTCATTGTAAACTCTTTCAAGGTCTATTAAAATTTATACTTATATACACTCAAAAAATTCAGGCCAGACGTGGTGACACATCTTTAATATCCCAGCACTCGGGTGGTAGAGGCAGGCAGAGCTCTGTGAGGTTGAGGTCAGTCTGCTCTACATAGCAGGCCAGCCAGGGCTACAGGGAGATCCTGTCTCAAAAAATAAAGTCTAGATTTAACTAAAAAATTATATTTTAAAAAGATATAGAACTCAGATCTTGTGTATGTGCAAAGCAAATTCTCTACCACTGAGCGACATTCCCAACTGTTTAAGATAGGGTCTCACCATACAGCAAATGCTGTCCTCACAAAATTCTCCTGCCTCGTCCTCCTGAGTGCTGTGATTACAAGTATATGCCACCACAAGCCACTTAGATTTGGCTGTTTTTATTTTTTTAAATATTTACTATTTTTATGTGTAAGAGTGTATTTCCTGCACATATGTGAGTGCAGCTGTGTCGTGCAACGCTGCGGACAGAAGAGGGCGTCGGATTCCCCTGGAGCTGGAGTTAAGGATGGTTCATAGCTGCAATGTGGGTGCTGGGAATTAAACCCGGGTCCTCTGCAAGAGCAGTCAGTGCTCTTAACTACTGAGCCATCTCTCCAGCCCCAAAATTTGGCTGTTTTTAATCAGCACTTTATCCTAACCATCTAGCACATTCCTGTCAATCAATTTTGTTTTGTAGGTAGTACACCTGTTTACTCTGGTTGTCAGGATGATCCATTTTGCATCTTTTTTTTTATTTTACTTTTTATGTGTATGAGTGTTTTGCCTGTATGTAAGTGTACCCATGCATATAATACGCATGGAGAAATGAAGAGGGCATCAGAACCCCTGGAACTGGAGTTACAGATGGTTGTTAACAGCTACGTAAGGAAACCGAACCCAGGTCCTCTACAAGATCAGCCAGAGCTTTTAACTGCTGAGCCCCATCTTTCCAGCCCCTTTGCATTTATTTTTAAAATATTACACTGTATACATTACAAAAAATGCATACACTGAATTGCACAAAATTTTAACCACTATACACATAAGGAATGGAATCTTGTTGGCATCTACTACATATGCGCCCCCAGAAGTAGTTACCAACCTGACTAGATGAATGTGGTTATCACTTCTGGTCTTTTGACCTTTTCAAATCCAAATTTTGAAAATGGCCTATAATACATTCTATGTACATATGGCGGTTGTCTGAGGGACTACTTGGTGGCTAGATAATAGTAAAAGGTCCCCTTGTTCCTACATATTCTTATGCCTCTTGGAATGAATTTACAGCCCTTTGAAAACCATACACAAGAATATTTTTTAAATGTATCTCAATGGTTAACCATATTAACAGAGACAGGGAGGGAAAAAACACACATCTAGTTAAAATATTCAAAGTGTTTATCTTGGGGAATGGGGAGTCTGCTCAGTGGGCAAAGTGCTTGTGCAATCATGAGGACCTAAGTTGGGATCCCCAGAACTCATGTAAGAGCGGAGCATGGTAGAACTCATTTGTAACCCCAGCACTGGCAGAGCAGAGATGGATAGATCCTGGGTACTCACTGGCCAGCCAGTCTAGCTGAAACTTCAAGCTCCAAGTTGAGAAATCTCTTAAAAAATAAGGTGGAAAGTGATGAAGCTTGAAGAAAACTGATGTTGACATCTGGCCTCCATATCTGTGCACGTACACATACACACACACACACACACACACACACACACACACACACACACAGTGGTTATGAGAGAAAGTTGGACAAAATATTAGAACATCATCTTAAAAGCATGAAGCTGTTAGCAGCCCATTGAAAAACTTTAACAGGTAAACCCAATACTCAAAGCCACTGTTTCACCCTAAGAATACTTCCCAAATCTAAAGAAATAAACCGTGATGGAGTAGTATTTTGGCATCTCAATGGCAAGGGTGCATGGTGGCAATGTCTTCCACCTCAGCTCTTAGGAGGCTGAGACAAAAGAATGTTGAGTTAGGAGGCCAGCCTGGGCTACTCAGAGGATATCCTGTCACAAAACATGAAAAGCAGAGTTAAACTAAACAAAACACAACATCGGTGCATAGGCCCCAGCAAACAACAGAAATGAGACCCCAGAGCATGACCTACAAGAAACAAAGAGAATTTGTTCTGAGAAATAAGGGGCAATCATCACTCAGATCCTGTCAAATTGCTGACACTAAGAATCCAATCAGTGTTTCTGAGTTCTCAATTTTCTAAGAAACTGAAAATACAAAGAATATTTAAATATGGCATCTCCATAAGCATCAGTACACCAGGCCAAAACATATCATAGTGGAAGAATTCTATATGTAAAAGTCCAGACTTGGGACAGGGAGATGGCTCATTGGGTAAAGCACTTGCTGCCAAGCCTGATGATCTACACTTGATGCCTGGAACCAACATGGTAGAAAGAAGAATCAGCTTCCACAAGCTGTCCTTTGACTTCCACATGTGTACTGTAGCATGAACGCACACGTGTGTACACACACAAATATTAATATTTTTACACCCACTTTTAAAAACATGGTATCACCAAAATCCAATTTGGTGAACTGGGTTTAATGGTGTTGCTTAAAGGAGAATGGTGGGGATTACTTACAGAAGCAAGGACTCAAAGGCAGCTGCAACATAGAAAAGCCCACCCCACGGGTGACAGTTACAAAAGCTGGAACCTGGAACCCTCCTCATGACTTGCAGGCAGCTCCACAGGCAGGAAAGCCTCCTTTCCCCAGCTGCCCTTACTGATTCTACAACCCCAGAAGGGAGGGGTGTTGGGTGTCTGGTAAATTTCAGGGGTGACCTGAGACTTTTGAGTTTTTTATTTTATGAATCTTAAGGAATCTCCCTTTAGAGCATTCTATCCCTCCTGGAGAGACTGTTTCAATTTTTGGAGAAAGTTGCTCTACAACAGGTGTTGGGCCACACACTGATAGCCATCCTACTGTGCATGGATCTGTGGGCCACAAGTTAGACATATCTGGTAGTACCACAAATGTTTTGACAGTACAGTAGTTTTTTTAAAAATTAAGATATTTTTCTTTTCTATCTTTATTGAATTTTTGTACATTTTATACAATATATCTTAATCATGTTTAGATACCCTGCTCTCTATGCACCTTCCCATACCCACTCTTCTGGATTCTGTCATACATGTTAAGGTCTACTGAGTCAAGTTTGTGTCCCCAAATGTCCCTCGATGTAAGTTCATCCTCTGGAGCCTGGACAACCCATTTAAATAGGTCTAAACCCACTCTTAATCACTCTAAACCAAGAAATCTCTTTAAAGATATTAGTTGAAAAGGGAAGGTGATATAGAGGGACTAGCTAAAGTCAAAAGTGAGGCTCAGGTCCTTAGGTTGTACAGCAAATGCATTTACCCTGATGAGTCATCTCACTGGCTCTTAAAGTGCCTCTTGACTCTGCCCTCCCCTGCTTCCATTCTATACATTTCCATCCTTGGCCTGTAGAATAAGAGTAAAATGAGTGTGTGGTGACTGCAAAATTACAAAAGACAGAGAAGACTGATGTAATATATGTCATTTTGCAGATGTAAAAAGCTCAAGATTGTTTCTCTCTGATCCTTTTCACTGTATACAACATTACACAGCATTCCTCTGTGGACATATGGTCTCTCCAGCTTTCACACTTAGAAAACATGAAGGATATGTTGAGCCTCATGCCTCATCCTCATCGCTATACTAGCTAAGATACAAAACACAATAATCTCCAATGTTAAATCATTTAAATGCCCTTTACTACACTTCTTGTTCTTTTGAGCCATTTTCTTTCTGGAATTACAATCTATGGAATTTTCTTGGTTTCAGTCAGTATTTAATTGTTCTCTTTATAACTGTGATGTACTGACACCTAAGTTTCATAATGTTTGCTATTATTTCCAAGCATTTTGAAGTATTAATGAGAAAATTGTCCCTAGTTTCTGGATTTAAAATACTTGCAAGGTAATAAATGTACACAAGTACTTGGACTAAAATGGTGCATTATATACATGTCTAAACCCATAAGATGTATACCAGGAGTAGACATATATAGATCCTCATATAAACCATGGGCTTTGGATAGCAGTAACAAGTAGGCTCACAGACTCTAATAATAATGTCTCACTCTGAAATGATACTGACAGTGAAGGAAGTTGTGTGAGGTGGGAGCAGAAAGTAAATGACAGCTCTGGACTTTTTGCTCAATTGTTCTATATACTCAAGATTGCTCAAAAAAACAAAGTTTACTTAAAAGAAAAAAAAAACTTGATAAACACTACTAAAATATGCCACAGAAAATTTAGCTCACGATCTTTTCACATTTGCTGATACTTCTTACTTTTTTCCATTTGCCTGTACCAAACTGATGCAAGTGTGGCATTTCATTAATTGTCCCCATGTGGGCTAACACCTAAAACCAGGAGCTAACTGTTGTCATGTATCTGATGTGACAGGGGTATGCTCTCTATATGTTACCAAGAAATGCTCAAATAAGATTCGAAGAATTTCAGAATCATGCTCATGTTGGAGGCAATAGCATTCAACTTTGCAGCCAGGCTTTAAGTACCTTAATCAGCATTCAGAGGCACCTATGAAGTAGATAAAAACAAGTGTCCAATTAAAAATATTCCTAATTTTTTTTGTCCTCCAAACCATGGCAAAAGCACAGAACTTCTTTCATATATTCTCTAACATGGCAGTTTTGTGTGCCTTTATTTTAGCTCAGCACAGAACAGCCAACAGGATGCTACAAAATGAAAACCAAGGCTCAGCATTTCTTAAATTTATTGAAGGATTCGTAGCTGGGAGAGGAAAGATCACAAGCATCAACAAATGTCAAGAGAAAAGAACAATTAATTGCAAATTATTACGAAAGTAATTTCTGAAACATTTTTTTGAGTCACTGCTAAAACAAAATTTTAGAGCATCTTGAAGTTCCTATTTTTGTAAGTGAACATTAAATTACTGAAGAGCAAAAAAACAAAGTTACTATTACACAGTACAAGATCTTAATGTACTAACTGAGCACACCCAAATTAATGGCCATAATTATTCAAAGCTGCTTTTACTAAATATTCTGTAACTAAACAAGAATGCAGATTACTTTTAACACTGCACAAGTAACCAAAGGTAGCAAATCCAGCAATATTAAAACTTGGTATTAAATAGTATTCAAAATCTCACAACAGAAACAAAACAAAACAAGAACTCTAGAACTATAACTCTATGTGAAAGGAATGTACAGATGGCAAACAATAAATAAATAAAGTGTCAGGAGTGACTAACACTGCACCTGCATTCTCAGAGCAGGAACACAGTAAACAATGAGATGCCTACAGGGCTTGTACTGCCAACAAGGAAAAGTACACTTGACCTTAGGAGTGCAACCTTTCTAATTCCCACAGATACTCTCATCCTCTTGTGCTGGTAACAGACAAACAGGATCTTAAATGGAAAGCAGTTTCCCTACCCTCTGTGTGTGGATGCAACATTTTTTAAACTCTGTGTAAAATTTCTTTGAAAAATATGAAATGTTAAAGGATGTACTGATTAGAAACAGATGGTGATAATTGTGGAAAAATACAATCAGCTGAATAATAAAGTAGATGTGAATCTGGACTCTGATGATGAAGATGAAACCTTAGTTTGGAGAATATGCACTAATGTCAAAGTTGTCTACTGTCAAATAGGTAACTGTCTTTTACTTTATATACATAGGGCACTTAATACATAAAGCCTACCAGCAAAATAAATCCTTATTTAACCAGAATCAAAGTATTATGAATTATAATTCACATTAACTATCTTAAAGGGCACAAATGGAACATTTCTCATAAAGATACCACATGTGTTCACTGAGTGAATACTCCAAAGCTTTTTAAAAAGCCACTATAACACATGGAGCCATCCAATTTCTGTTGCCATTTTCTTCCGTGGTTTTTAAATGAAATATTCTTTTCTAGTAAATCAGGAAATATTTTCTAAATCAGTAATTAGTAATACGTAGAATACAAATGCTCTTTAAACTTAGCTTAGGGAAAGATGAACATGAAAGAATTGCCATATTTTGGTCTGAAATAATTCAGGAAGCTCCTCATCAGAACTCTTTCACTTTCTTTCTGCAGATCACAAAAAGGTTTAAAAATTGGCAAACCAAGAGTACAGCTCATTGCACGTGACAATTTTTACAGTTCTAAATAAAACATATTACATTAGGAGTAAAATGTACAGAATGGCAATATTACAATGTTACAATATAAATATGTCAAGAGATTTGTAATAAAATAAGATAGAACTATCCTGGACAAGAGGTCTTCTGAAGAATGAACACAGATCTAGAATGTCTTTGGAAAAATCACAAAGTGCCTTAAAGAAAGTTTAGATTGTACCTGATTAAAAGATACTGCTCTAGACTCAACCATTTTCTCTATACACAGAACTGAATTTCTCTTCACATCTGTAATACTTATTTCTCTGTGTTCCTACACTGAAATGATGTAAGTATGTAGTTCAACTATCCTGTTACACCTCATGACAGTTTTGTCATCAGGTAACAAATAAAAGACAAAAAGCTCAGCACAGCTTCACCAAAATGCAAAGAAATAAGAACAAGGAAAACTTTCTGCAAATGAGAATATCATTAACAGAAATAAGCATAAGCACTTTTAGTTTCATAAGACCAATAAAATGTCATTTCGGGTTCAAAGAAATTTAGAACTCAGTTTTTCTATTTATCTAACCCATACATATACCCAAACGACTAACTGCAGTCTGCAAGTTACAATTTAACAAGAGTAAACATTCACAGTCCTAATGTTTGAAATCAGGGCAGTGCCACCACAACTTGAGTTCTGAAAAGCTATTGACAGAAACAGTTCCGGTTACATATTTCTTCCATTTCTCTGCCTTAAAAAATATGTGAAAAAACTTTAGAAAAAATGTGTAAGTTTAAGGCTGCCCACATGACACTATCTTAAATTGAGAAAAACTTACAAGGTAATCTCAAAATATTCAAATAGCTTTTGGCATTCTTCTAAAGTAAATTTCAATCTTTCACTATATATTTCTCAACCATAATTATTAATTCAAATTAATATAAGTGCTCTCATTCACTACTCCCTACCAGGTGCTATGTCTACATTTAGTGCAGCTTCTAGAATAGTGCTTGGGGAAAAAAGAAAACAGGATGGAGCATAACCAAAGGCTCCCACAAAATTTTGTGCCCTAGATCACAAAATTCATTAGCAAAAGAACCAAACACACAGTAACACAAACCTACACAAACAAAACCAAGACACAACCTTGGTCCTCTTACTCAGGCCAACTTGCATTTTCTAAAAACAAAGTAGGGAATGTGGAGGCCAGAAAGATCATATGGGAGAACTTAAAATAGTTCCGGTAAATTTTATTGTGTGTGGGGGGGGTGGTGGCAACTGTTCTAGAAAAAATTATTTAAGTGGTTTTTCTTTCTCTCAAAAATCCAACAATGAAAATCATTATTAGGCTCCTCTGAGTATATTTCCATATTAGTTTTTAAAATTACAACAAGTTTTTCAACCTGAACTTTCATTTGTAAATTTAAGCCAAAAAGTTAAGAATTCTTACTACACGATCTTTACATTTTAAAGCACCTTTGTAATGTTAATAGTGGATTTCTAACTATGAAAAGTGACAGAGAAGGAACAAACTAGTGGGGAGGTTAAGGCGCTCGCTCTCGCTCTCTCTCTTTCTCTCTCTCTCTCTCCTCCCTCTCCCTCGCTCTTCCTCCCTCTCTTGTATTCCAGAATGATTGGCAGCATTAGCAAATACTGTTACTTGCCGTAAAGTTCAGAAAACTCAGTTTTTACAGACACCTAAACCACTAATGCTTAGGTTAAGAAATTAATGTTTTGGGAAATCTAGATGTACTAATAGCTTAACTATGAAAACAAAACTGATGTTAAAAAACAGAAACGAAGATTACAAACCTGCCAGAATGAGTAAACAACAACAACAAAATCAGCCTCAGTTTTATTTTTTTATGTCAGATGCCATTAGTTTTTGGAGGGGCTAAAGAAGAACTGGAACCCCTTGCCAGCCACCAAAGCCCAGTTTCCAGCATCATTATTTGGATCCAAAAAGAATGCTATCAGACAATGCTTCCCCAAGCCGTGGGTCAGATCTTCTTTCACAGACAAGCTTTTTTAGGGTCATAATACACACACACACACACACACACACACACACACACACACACGTAGAAGAATAGATGAAGAGAATATTTCGACAAAGATTACAAAAGTATGAATTATATACACTGTGATAACAGAAAACACTTAAAAAGCTATTTACTTTCCTCTCAATTCAATTAAAATGTTAATATTCTCTATTTGAATTTTATCTTAAACACATTCATCTGTTTTCTTCCCATCCTAAAACAAATCATAAAATATAGTGGTTTGGAGTTTGTTTTACACATTTTCCAAAAGCCAATCAAACAGGGATTTACATCTTTCCTCACTGGATGTTTTTTCCACCACTTCGTAGTATTTAAGCACAGCCTGCAGGACATCTCCCACTTTCCATCCTTTCTCTTGTAATTGTTTTGAAAGCTAAGAGAAAAAAAGATACATCAAACATTAACAGAAAACAATTTTGAAGCAATGAAGTCTTTGTTTTTTATCTTTTGACAAAACTGAGAATCCCATAATTTATAACAAAACATTCTTTCAGTTATAATGAGATATCCCGTCAACTGCCACCCCTTTACCCAAATTAAACATTTTCCTTTCCTGCCCTTTATAAAACATGTTTCCACAGAATGACACTTTGGGATTGCTGGAGGCAGACACAAACCTTGGCCAGCAGACAGTCTGTGTGGGAGTGCAGAGTCTAAATTTCTACAGGAAATTCTTCACCTAACTAAATACATCTGCCACACCCTCAATTAGGAACAAAAAATAATAAAGACAACGTCAAGCTTAATAAAAGGATGTGGATTTTCCTTCCACAACATATAGTGTGGTTTTTTTCTGTAATACAAACTCTAGCCTCAACGGAAACATGGCGTTCTAAGTTAAGAAATGCAATGCTTCAACAAAAAGCAAGCAAAAAGTAAATAAAGGTTTAAATACAGTCTACTAGGGCAAATCAAAACATGGCTTTACTGAAAAAAAAAAATCTATTTAGCTCTGTGAAAGCCTTAAGTTTTAAAAAAATCTGTAAATTAAATTCTGATAAACTAGTATTTTACTATAAATACGCTTAGGTCTTCTTTAAATAGCTTTGTGAGATGATTCACATTTTTTTTTTAGTATAATCACTGAGTTACATGCAACCATCACCATAATCAATAATAAAACTTTCTTTCCTCATACCAGAAGGAAAGCCCCATGCATCAGAAGCCAGTCTCCATCCTCCCGACCCCTTCAGACCCAGGCAATCTCACAAACTTGCCTACTTTTGGACATTTCATATAAGTGGAATCATAAACTGTGTGCAGTCTTTTGTTTGCCATGGCGGTTTTACGGTTCTACCATGGCAGACGAGGGCTTAGTACTTTCCTACCTTCTACTGACTTTAATAAACCTCCATATCCATTCATTAGCTGATGAACATCTGAAACATTCCCACTTTCTTGTCTGCTGTGTTTTGTAACAAAAATCTCATTATGTTGCCCTAGCTGGGCTTGATGTTCCAAGCTGGCCTAAAGCACAGAGGAAAGTCAACCTGCCTCAGGGTGCTGAGATTACGAGCCTGTGCCACCACACCTAACAGATTCTTACTTTTTATCTACTATAAATATGCTGCCATTGACATTTGTGCCCAAGTTTTTTATGTGGACATATGTTTTGTTTCTCTTGATTGCATATCAAGGAGTAGGTTCCAGGATAATATTGTACTTAGCTTTTTGAAGAACTGCCAGAATGTTTTCCAAAAAAGTTTTATCATTTTAGAGTCTAATCAAGAATGTATAAGAAGGATTCAGATTCTCCACATCCTTACCACATTTGCAATTACCCACCTTGTTATAGTTATCCTGCTGGATGTAAAGCTCACAGTGATTTGTACTTTTCTAATGACCAAAAAGTTGGACATGTTTTCATGGTCTTATTTTTCAATGATGAATCTTACACCTGGTCCTTTTTTGATTTTTATTTTTTGGTGTTTCTGAGACAGGGTCTCTCTACAGCCCCAGCTAGCCTGGAACTTGCTATGTTCCAGCTTAAACCTGGTTGACCTCAGTCTCGATCTCTCAGATCCACCTGCCTTTGCCTCCTGAGTACTGGGATTTAAAAGCGTGCACTACCACACCGGCATTCTCAATCCATTTTTAAGTTGGACTATTTGCCTTTTTAATCTTTTGAGTTGTAGGAGTTCTATGTGTTATGAGGATTTTATCAGCTACATAATTTTCAAACACATTCTTCAATTGTGTGACTTGTCTTTTCAGTCTGTTGATACTGTCTTTTTAAGTACAAGAGTTTTTGCTCTAGCTTCTCTTTTGTAACTTATGTAAATATACCTCTATATTTTCTTGATATACAATTATATGTAACCTTCTCAAGGTAATATTTATTCTACTTAATAGTAAAAATGTCAGAATTAAGTATCCAGAAAGACATAAAATAATTCTATTATTCTCATTATCACCCAACATAATGCATACTTGCCTCTTAACTGTTTCATAGATTCCCAGGAGCCTTGTGAAATCCTAGCCAGACATAGTCTATAGAAGCATCAGCCATTTGGTTAAATAAGCCACAGACATATGACATCGCCATCCACAGTTAAGGACTTCATGTCACTCAACCATCAGGCAAAGATCGCTCAGGCTAGTTTACAGAGTACCAAGGTCCCATTAATTACTCTCTCTCAGCTCCACGTGGCCAAGGCTTCTCTTAGGCCTCAGTTTATCTAAGATTAAATGGCTCTCTTTGCCTCAGTTCTACCAATTCCTCTACTCACTCTTTTACCTGATAATTCATTTGAGAATCTCTTTCTGGGCTATTTTCTCCTACTAAGAACAGAGGCTTCAAACTATTAAGTCTAGTCTGAGTAAAGATAAAAGTTAAAAAAAAAAAGTTTATATCTTTTCCACTTCTTTCAACAAATTTTTTTTTATAAATTGTGAACCATAAAATATGAGTAACTTCTGGGTTCCTTTCCTGTTTTTATTGCTCAATCTACATTGGTTACTTACTGAACTATTTTATAGCCTGTGATAAGACTAACCAAAGTTTTCATAAAGGAAACTATGGGAAAAAATCCTTAAAACTATGTACTAAAATGCCTGCCTAACAAGGTGCTTGGTACATACTAAGAGTGTACAATAAAAGTAAGTTATTTAAACTTTTATTCACCTTTTTATTATACCAGTCTCCCGCTTGCATGAAGCTGAATTATCAGCAAAAGACCCTCACTTAATTAGTTATAATTATAAATCAATGAAATAACTTGAATTTTTTCTATAAGAATACATGAACTGCTTATTAATGACATCTAACTTTGAGGGTTTAGTGAATACTAAGTGTTTTGCTTTTTACAGTATTATAATTAATTCTGAAAACCCCGTAAGGTAGATTCTATGCTTCTCTATTCCCTTAGTGCAACTAAGGAAACTGAGACTTGCACTGATTAATTTGCCCAAGGTTACACTCGGGAAAATGGAAGGGCTAACATCTGAACCCCAACTGTGAGACTCTATAAACTATGCATTAACAACTGTGTAATCAACAGGCATTTTATTAGACACAAGAATGCAGTAAGATTACTACATAGTGTTAAACGTTTCCTCACAACCATTCTAGAAAGTAGGTACTTACTAATATAAATTCCTTCTTTGCAGAGTCATGAAAATAAAGTTCTGCAACTTCAGCCTCAGAGGCAATAAGCCACTGAAGAATAATCCTTAGCTGGGGATCTACTGTGCATGGCTCCATGTCAATATTCATAATTAGCAGAGTTTTTCCATCTTGCTTCAAATCTAATAGCAAAGTTAAACAATATGAAGTGAAATTCATCAATTCATCTTTCAACACTCTAGACTCCAATTACACACAAATATTTTTCATTTAAGATTCCGGTAAATATTTCCTTAACCGTATTAATTAGAATATCAACTAAAACATTTCTGTAAAGGAACAAAATAATGCAAAAATAAAGGAATAATTTTGATCATTTACTGATAGCACAAATGTAAAACACTGTTTAAATTTAATTTAAATAGAATATAAAAAGACACTGCTCTCAAGTTTATTTTCTTGTTAATGAGAATGATGCTTTCAACATGATAGAAGAGTTATTCCAGTTGACAGACACACTAATGGCTTTTGGACCAATACCGTGTATTCAATATTCCTGCTTAAGGATGACTGAGTAGTAGGGTACTAAGACCTATACCCCTTACCTCACAAGAAGTAAGCAACAGGGCATGTTGGCAGACCTCATGCTAGTATGTACTAAGAATGGAAATGTTGATGGATTTCCTTGTTGTTGATGGATAGTTTTCTGTTCAGCCTGTAGGCCATTCTAAGCTGCTATGACTCATTTTTTAGAATTTGTACAGGTCCCTAATTTTTAATGTAAATAATTGATCCACATTAGTCTTTAGAATTTATTATCTTTTTGTTCCTGTCTTGTCAATGAAAGTCTCAATCAAAAGTAAGCCTGGTATAGATTTTCTCTCATATACAGAATCTAAATTTCTGTATGTGTATATGTACATATATGTGTGCACTTGTAAAAGTCATAAACAAAAGGGAGACTAGGAGACAGAAGGAGGAAATTTTAATGGGCAATGGGGAGGAGGGAGAAAAAGAGGATAGTGGGTTCCATGTGACATGAGCAGAAAAGATGATTATATGGGAGAGGAAAAGGACCAGCAAGAGGGTGGTGGGAAATAAGGAGAGACAGTTGGGGCAGGAATGAATAAAAGTATAATAACATGGTCACAAAAATGCCCTATGAAACCCATCATTATGTATGTTAAACCCCCTCCCCCCCAAAATTTAGAAAAACTGTTTTAAAGAGGTCTGGTACATCATGACATAAGACATGGTCTCTGAGGCACTCTATATCCTGAAGCTTTCCTGGGGCTGGAAGCTTGGTCAACTAGCAGTTTTCTACACTGCTGGGGTTTCCTCAGGTTAGGGCCTCCTAGTTGCCTGTTTTCAACAGAGTTTAGGACCAATACCATGTTAACAAGCAAAAATAAATAAACAAATAAAAAGCTAAAAACAGAACAAAAAACTCAGCTGTCTTTTGTCTCGGGAATTCCATAATTTTGAGGCTTTCTGTAAAGCTAAACCAATTTATCTTCTAAGAGAACAAATTTGAAAGTTGGTTATAACTTTCTACATCAGATTGCTTATACTCTCAAAAGCTGAAGAAATATATTTTAGCCTCCTGGTTTCTACCCACTAACAAAAATCCTCACTTGATAAAACTTTTGAAAATGAATGTCCTATTTATATCAACTTTAATCATTCCTCAGCAAAGGTGGTTAATAATGAAGTTATTAAAGACTCACTGCATGCATGAATACCATGGACAGTTTTTGAAACTACATTCAGAGGTGTTATTTGGGAAAAGACTTTTAAAGACAAATACTTTACTGGACAAAAATGAAGTAAACACTACCTAGTCCATCACTGACTCTGAAAATAGTTACAATATGGGCCAGCAGGATGGCTCAGCTGGTAGGGGCACTTGCTGACACACTTGATGACCTAAGTTCAACCCTCAGGCTGGAAAGGAAAAACCAACTCCTGAGAGTTGTTCTATATATGATGTGTGACCATGTCATGCATGCACCCACACACATATGCACATTCACAAAAATGCATAAATATTAATAAAAAATTTTAGTAGTAATAATCTTAAATCTAAGAATTTTACTTTAAAAGTTGGTATGACTTCCTGAATAGGAAGTACAGTCAGGGGCTGTAGAGATGGCTCAGCAGTTAAGGGCATTGGCTGCTCTTGCAGAGGATCCAGGTTCAGTTCCCTGCACCCACATGGCAGCTAACAACCATTGGTAATTCCAGTTTCAGGGAATCCGACGCCCTCTTCTGGCCCCCATGGCCACTGTATGCATGTGTTACACTTATACACATGCAGGCAAAAACACTCAAACACATAAAATAAGGGGAGGGAGGAGTGAGGGAGGGAAGAAAATTATAACTAGTGCTAAAATGACTGGAAACTCGGGGGTTAACATGTATTTCAAGTAATTCTTTTCAGCATTTTCTCAGTGTATCTGCCTACTTTTTGGCCCAAGGGTTCTGGGTTGAATTCCCAGTCTTCAAATTTGCCTACTTCTAAAGAAACAAAAACAAAAATTCACAATTTCAAAAACAAGTATCTTAAATAGTTTTATTTATATGTGCTACTTTACAGAGAAGTTATAATTAGCATCTTCATAATTAAAGAAAAGATTCAGGAGAACATCCAACAATTATCTGAATAGAATGAAAACTCAGGTTCAATGTGAGAAGTTTCTAAATTCACTTGAATATTCCAATGTATGAATTAAGGATCACCAAACATGGCCCAAAACTCTGTGGTCAATGATACCTAATACTGACATATAAGAACCATTCACTAAAGGACTGAATACTTCCTTCAAATACACGTGAGTAAAGAATTAGAACTAAAGAAGGGAAGAAGTGTGGGGACATTTAAAACTACCTTTTCATTTTTACATTCTGATTCAAGTAAGTCTTACATAAAACACATACCCTGGATGTTTCAGATTTAAAGGAAAACATGAGAAGTGTTTGAATGTGAAATGCTCGCCCCCTCTCTCCTCTATGAGCTCATGTGTTTGAACACCAGGTTCCCAGCTGGTGGCACTGTTTGGGGAAGTTGTGAAATTACAACATGGGGCCTAGCTGGCAGTGGTAGGTCACGAAAGGTAGGCCTTTGAGAATTATAGCCCTGCTTCTGGTCTGTTTCCTGACTGCTCCACACCAGCTCCAAGTTCCTGCTACCATGCCTTCCCGATCTCAATCACCTTCCTCCCTTCTGTCAAGGACTTTGTCACAGCCACAAGAAAACAAACTAATATAGAATAATAAATAATATGCCTATCATAAACTGTATCTTATGAGTAAAGACTCAGACTTACATTTTGAAATGAGTAAAGACTTCAGACTTACATTTTGAAATAAATATTAATATAGAGAGACTATCATAAGCTTCTTCCTCCAACTTTCTGTTTTTGTGATCTGTGTTTTATAAATAACCCAGGGCCCATATGAAGAGGCACAAACATAAACCATAAAACCTTACACAAGAAATCAAAGTGTTACTAACCTTCTAAATCATCCTCGTGTTCTTCATCATTATCATCTGGTCCATCACTTTGTGAAGAAAACAACAGAAACAGATTTTTTAAGCTTAATTGGTAATGTGTTATAACTACTTCTTAGAAAAGTAGTAAGGAATGAAATGTTACAATATGATATATGACATTTAGAAAAGGGAGAAATGACAACCAAAAGGCAGCTTTGCTTCTCACATTATTTCATGTTAAGATCTGAACTGTACATGATGCCTAGTTATCAATAGCCAAGAAGCCCTACCTTATCTTGACATTTAGAGCCAAGTAATTTCTTAATAAAATTGAATTTAAAATAAAGATGAAACATTCTAATTTGATTTTAAGGAATATGCCATTTAAATATCATAGAATTTCATAAATATATTGTATTAATGCTTCTATTAATGTCATTTAATATCTTTAACACAGTTAAAATAATTTTCCTATACCTTTATTATATATGAAATCAAACTACATATATGCAAAAAACAAAACAGAAATCCTGTAGGAAGCAAGCTCTTTTTAATGAAATAATTGGTAGAGAAAAATGGCAAGCAGAGCAACCCATGCAAAATAGTCATACATTTTGCAATTAGATGTCAGTCATATTTTAGCAGTTTGAATTTTCTCATTAGATGTAAATGTACCGAGCAGAATCATGTCAAAATTCAGAACAAAAGCAGGCTGATATATATTGGCTCTCTTAAGAATATGACATCATGCATTAGTGGTGAAAGACTCATCAGTTTTTAAGTGTCTAGACTGAACCAACCTGTCTGATGTTGGAAAGGATAAATTGTCCTCATACAAATCTCCTTCTAAACCAAGACTGCTCCAGCTACTGCTGTTACCATTACTGCTGGAGGAAGAAAAGAACAGAGCTGAACTAGAAAACGATTAGTGAAGACCATCTCTGTTTTCCTTGGGACAGTTTCTGTCCTTGGAAGTGCTCATGTCCTGAAGCTGCCACTGTAGAGTGTCCATGAGGGGACAAGAAACTATCACTGCCATGCTACAAAGGGTACCTGACAGAGCCAGAGACTAGGGAGTCTTTACCTTGTCCCTAAAACATCATGGCAATGATTCTAAATTTAAATTTATTCTGCAGATTAAGACAACAGAATGACTTTTATAACAGCAAATGGCTGCATGATCAAATTAGTATCTCATGGCAAATCTTAGCATGTATTTTTTAAAATATTATTTATTTTTTATTTTATGTGTATGCGTGCATTGCCTGCATGTAGGTAAGTGCGCCCCTGCCATGCAATGCCCGCGGAAGACAGAAGAGGCTGTCAGATCCCCTGGAACTGGAGTTATGGACAGTTGTTAGCTGCCATATGGGTGCTGGGATTTGAATCTGGGTCTTCTGCAAGAACAATCAGTGATCTCAACCACTGAGCCATCTCTCCAGCCCCCTTAGCACATAATTTATAAAGAAAAAAAAAGATAACATACTTTCATACTCTTCAATTTGGATAAAATTTAAAAAGAAAAAAATTTAAGTTGAGGTTTTCTCCAGTTTTTTTTTTTTTTTTTTTTTTTTTTTTTTTTTTTGGTCTTCTTGAAGCAGGGTCTCCCTGTGGCCCCAGCTGTCCTGGAACTCACTATGTAGACTAGGCTGGCCTTGAACTCACAGAGATCCGCCTGCCTCTGCCTCCCAAGTGCTGGGACTACAGGCTCTTCAGTTTTTGAATAGTACAAAACAGTGATAAGGTTTAGGTGAAAAATATGGGGAGATGGGAAGGATACACCAAAACACAGTCACAAACAAATCTTGTTTTCTGATTTTAAAGCCCTCCCATTATGTCAATATGCCAATTACCTTTATTTCTTATACTAGATATAATCAGCAGGTGGCAAATAGCACACATTTTCTTCAGAACAAAGCTAGAAGAAACAAGGCTTAATTAAGCACTATACTTGTCTAGTCGGTCAGACACCAGGGCCGCACAGCTCTAACATCTTACATTACCTAGCCAAAAGAAGAAGAAAGCAACTATATTCTACAAGAGCAGCAAAGCATTGTTTGTAAAAAGCAACTGTATTAAAAAAAAATTCTATTCTAATTTTCAGGTTGAAACCTACAACATGCAACTTAAAAATTCTAATCATTCCTAATTATTAAAATAATTAGTAAGCACATTAGTTTGCAGTGATAAGCAGCTTTACTTCCCAATCTCAGCCTAGTCAATTATAAAGGTTAACATTTACACAAACCAGTCTTTTGGCTCTTTGAATTTATAAAATCACTTCACGTGCAACAATAAATGTTGACAAAGTTGCCAAAAGCATACAATTACTCAAAGTTTTAAAAAGTTTCCAAGTGGGGCTGGAGAGATTGCTCTGCAGTTAAGAGTACTGGCTACTCTTGTAGAGGACATGGGTTCAATTCCCAGCACCCACATGGTGGCTGACTGCTGCCTGTAACTCCAGTTCCAGGCAAATCCAACACTCTCTTGTGACCTCTGCAGGAATTGCACCACACGGGTGCACTTAAATACAAGCAGACAATACACTCATACACATAAACTATTTTAAAAAGTTTCCAAACAATCTCAAGTAATTTACATATCTGTTTTCACTTAAAGAGTATCAATTTCACCTGGGCACGGTGGTGCACACCTTTAATCCCAGTACTTGGGAAGCAAAGGCAGAGGCAGGTGGATCATTGTGAGATCAAGGCCAGCCTGGCCTACAAAGTGAGTTCCAAGTCAATAGGGGCTAGAAAGAGAGACTTTCAAAAAGACCAAAATGAAAAAAAAAAAAAAGAGTATCAAATTTTCACAAATTACAAAACTGAGCAGTCTTTTCAACATATATTCAAACAAATACAGCTCTGTTATAAAACCATGGAAGACAACCAGTTTTATTCATGAAGTCTGTCATCTCTAAAAAAGAGAAAACACAGCACAGAATGGACAGACAACTCTTAAGTCAAAGAGAAAGAGAAAATTATCTCAAAACTCTTTACTTTTATTAATAGAATGATTATTTAAACAAAGAAAAATGTAAAATTAAAATTCTTACCCATATCTTATTAACAATGACTTCTAATTAACAATAAAAACTAATCACCTTAGTTTTAGATGAACATGAAAAAAAGTAACATCTAATCAACATAAAGACTAAAAATTCAAAATCCTAATCTCATCTCTCTCCCATTTTTATTTTTGAGAATTTCATACACTGAGCACTGCTTTTGTACTATTTCCATCCCTCCCAGTACCCTACCAACTTCCCGTGTCCCCTCACTCCCTCTCAATTTCATGTCCTCTTCTTTATTAGTTACATATATGCATACATTTGCATATATGTGTGTATATATAAATAAAATGCACAAGGGCCAGGTGTGGTGGCACATGCTTTTGATCCCAGCACCCAGAAGGCAGAGGCAGATCTCTGTGAGTTCAAAGCCAGCTCATCTACGTAGAGAGTTTCAGGCCAGCTGGAGCTACAGGGAGAACCCATCTCCAAAACACCAAAAAAAAAGGATAAAATGCAGAGTTCATTTAGTGGGGCTAGTGTGTACCTGTATTTAGGGCTATCCATTTGGGATTATATACCCTCACAGGTAGCTAGTCCCAGGAGAAAACTGATTTTCCCTCCCTCAGGCTCCATTGATTGCATGTAGTTCTTCATCCTGAGGTGGGACCCTGTAACATTCCCATTGTTCAAAATGGACCAGATCTGCCGGGCATAGTGGCGCATGTCTTTAGTCCCAACACTCAGGAGGCAGAGGCAGGCGGATCTCTGTGAGTTCAAGGCCAGCCTGGTCTACATAGTGAGTTCCAGGCCAGCTGGGGCTACAGGGAGTGTCTCAGAAAGACCAAAAAAAAAAAAAAGGATCAGATCTGAAGTCAGTTAATTATAAAATACTACCTCTAACTAGGGTGACCATATAACTTCATCTAACCATTACACATTTGAAGATAAAAGAAGTTACCATTAGTAATTATACCAAAAATCATACAAGTTAACTATAAAATATGATCACCCTACCTTGATCCAATGTTAAAAAAAAAAAAACAGAAAAAAATAAACCACCAGGTCAGACGTGGAGACAGAGGCAGGCAGATCTCTGTGAGTTTGAGGTCAGCCTGGTCTATATAGCAAGTTCCAGATCAGTTGGGGGACCCTGTCTCAAAAAGACCAAAAAATAAAAAAAACCAAAACCTTAATTTCTTCTCTTAATCTCTCTGTTCTATTCTTGAAACACTGTTTTGCTTCCATCATTTACTATGCCTTTTCATATTTCCTACTTCTACAATAGGTACACACTCAAAGCAGTGGCAGTCAAATACTGAGATTCTTTACTATAGCTTTTAGTATTATCAAGACTATTGTACATTCTGATACAGATCCCAAGAACCCAAGTCTGGCCTTCTCTCTTATCTAATCTAATACATAATTTTTGCTGTGGATTGTACCTAAAACTTTGCACATGCTAGGCAACTGCTCTACCACTAAGCTATATAAGCTCATAACCTGGAACTGTTTTTTGTTTTTTTGAGACAGGGCCTTGCTAAGTTAAGTTGCTCAGACTAGCTTTGAACTGTGGTAACTCCTGTCTCAACCTCCAGAAGCTTGCAGGCATGAACAACCACAGTGACCTCTAATACATAACTTCTAAGAAAGTCACAAACCATTTGAAATATTTGAGATTCAAATTCACAGGCCATTTCTCTTTGTGAACAACTGATTATAAACTCTTAAATCCTAGTTAAATTCTGATTTTTTTTGGGGGGGGGTCTTTTTGAGACAGGGTCTCCCCGTAGCCCCAGCTGGCCTGGAACTCACTGTGTAGACCAGGCAGGCCTTGAACTCACAGAGATCCGCCTGCCTCTGCCTCCCAAGTGCTGGGACTACAGGCATGCGCCACCATGCCTGGCTTTAAATTCTGATTTTTTAAAAAAATTGTTGCTATTAAACTTCCTAATTAGAGTAAAAATTCTTCAAGGTACTTATTGCCCCTTTGAGCTCTGTAACTGAATGAACACTAATGACAGTAAATGTCACCAAAAGATGTAATGTGTAAAGCCACATGTAAAGTCAAAATACCTGCACTGAAATCATCTAAGGTATTTATCAAGCAAACAGATTTTCAGGACCCTGCACTGGCCTAATGATCCAATCTCTGGAGGTGAAGCTCCGGAAACCCATGTCCAACCAGCACACATCAATTCAATTCAGAATAAGGCTCACTATCTTCTGCCTAAACCTTAATGTTACACAGCACCACTAGCTCATATTGATAGTAGGCAACTGAAATACAGATCTTTTTCTGACAAAATGCTCTCAAGCCAGATATGCTCCCTAGGTTCAAAAAGCTAATTTCTGAACCTAAATGTATTTGCTCATGTTTTAAGCATCAATTATTTCAACCTCAGCCACATTTAGTGTTGGTTCTAAGATTATCATTTTAGCCTTGTTTCTGAGTCATCCACAAATGAATACTGCACCAATGCCACAGATAGAATGAAGGCTAAAGCCTAGTAGAATGCTCTCCCCCTCATCAAATAAGTTAACCCTCTGTAGAGTTATTCAACTGACACAAATCCTCTTAATGTCATTGGCCTCTAGCCATAGTTCTACTTTAGTACCAAGATTTCCTGAGGACCAAAGTCAACCCTTGCTGAAAGCCTAAGAAAGTTCTCTTAAAGATAAGAGAAAAAAAATGTTACTGTATTATTCTAGGTAGGGCAAAGGGCTAAATCAGGACTTGTGACATTGCTCCACTTGTACCCAGTTTATACTTTTTTTTGGGGGGGGGCACCTAAATTTTAAGAAATACTGATGGTTCCCATAATGTAAGAAACTATGACAGAATACTTTATAAAAACATTAAAACTGTTTGTCCAAGTACAAAACAAATACTCTGAGATGATGTGTTCTAACAAGCTAAAAGTTTTCCTTATGCCACCTAATCCACTCCTCCAACTTAAAAGGTGACTTCCTTCCTTCTCCTAGTAAGTAAATTTCAAGGGTGTAGGTCAGCAGAAACTTACAGGGTCCTTTCCACACATACCAGTTAGACACATGTTGAGAACCTCTCTCTCTAGGTTCCACATTTCCAATTATTAGTTAACATAAAGATATTTATGAGAATTCATAGGATAGCCAGGAATGCCTTTAGGCAAAGGTAAGAATGTAAGAAACAAATCATAAAATACTTAAAAGACTACTGCTATGAACAAAGTTAACTAAGAAAAGCCATATATAAAGTAAATGTCTTCAAGTATATAAAAACCATATTTTATAATACGACTTCAACTTATGTATTTTCAATCTTTTAAGGACATACATAAATGCTGCTCAAGTTATTTTGTTCCTAACAGCTGGACAGGTCTAAGGACCCTTTTTCTCCCCACTAAGATACTATTTTAACTAGTATCAAGAAAACTACAGGGCTATCTTAATGTCTTTTACAGATAGCTAACTGTCCTTTTACTTATCCTCTAATTTAAAAAAAAAAAAAGTACTTGAACGTGATAAATTATGCTCCGGAAACATCCAGGTAAGCTTATCTACAATAAATTAATAAATTTCCAAAGTCAACTTTTGGCACAACCAAAAGTACATTAGCTCTGTCAACTGACTATATTTAAATATGTGTCAAATGCATTTAGAGGCCAGGCATAATAACACAAGCCTATAACGCAGCACCTGTGAAGTTATGGGAGGAACTAAACTTCTAGCCTGGGCTACTTAGGAAAAGTCAGTTTCAAAAAAGAAAGTAAAAGCATTAACAAACTATAAAAACATTAGAAATACATTGGGAATAATAAAATGTAATTTGTAAGAATGGATAGCTTTCCAAATCTAGAATTTTCAAGTAATAATGTGCATTTACAGCTCATTTCTGAAGTCTTGAGACCTAAACCACATAAGCATATATAAAATTTTAGTTACCTTTCGCTTAGATGATGAAAACTGCTACTTTCATCTTGGTGGTCATCCTCAAAACTTAAGCTGGACCAGCTACCAGTGCTGTCCTCACCAACACTGAGATTCATCTGCTGGCTACCAAATGACTCAGTTGACTGAAAGTCCTCTATTTCTTTTGAACTAAGAAAAAAAAAAAAACATGATTAAAAAAAAATCACATTGAAGCATCACAGATTCTGAATCACTGGGAACTGAGATAACAAAAGATGACGTAAGAAATGATATTCAGTCACATTAATGTCCCCTGAGCCCTTTACTGCATCTGCTAACTATGAAATGCTGCAGAACAGCATAGTGAGCTACCTCATCTGCTGGTTTGGAGATCGATATCCCTAGTGTAGCATTTATCTAAATTGTGTTTAAAGTAGTGCAGACTTTCAACTAGGACACTATGCAGGAGTACACCTTATTACAAATTCTAAATTCATCATCTGCCTTGTAAAAGTACTTTCATCTAGTCTAAAGGAGCCTCTTCCTGGCTTTTAGAATAAGAAAAATAATTTAAGAAATTCTAGTATTGTCAATCAAGCTACAATCAAACTAATCAAATCTCTACAGAACATTTTCTTTCCCAATGAAGAGACATACATATTTTTATTACAAAGTCAGAAAAAGTCCATTTAGAAAAACTATAGTAATTGCCCTTCTCTATATATTTAACATAGTTCTTCAAAGTGATATCTTTAAACATGATGAGAAAAACTGTCAATGTTCTGATCTAAGCCTTCCAATGGTTTCCAGCAGTCATAATGAGAGCACAAGCTGTTCCCCTTGTAATGGCCACCTTATCATCGACTTTTAATCCTGGGTCACTCTGCAGCAACACAATGTCTCTACTGCTTCCCATACATACAGTGCCACCCCTTTGCCTGGAGTCCAGTTCCCTGTGACTTCCAAAGACTATTCTCTCTCTGCCTTTGGCTCTTGGCTCAAATGTTACTTTACCATTACTGCCTCCCTGGTACCCAATTCAAAACTGGAAGATAGGCCAAACTGATATTGTCCACCACTTGCCACCAACACTCCCTTTTTATTTTTCCTTTGAAGTACATTAAAAAATTTTTTTGGAGAATTTCATGCATCAGTACCTTATTTACATAACCTCTACCCTTCCCTTTCCCCCCTTCAACTCTTCTCATATCCCCTCCCCTTAATTTTGTGAACTCTTTAAATATTATAGTTACATATATACATGTGCTCACATACACACACAATCTAGAGTCCATTTAGACATACTTGCATGTGTGCCTAGGGTTGAGCACTTTTAATGGTAGAACATACATTTTACTAATCTTATTCTGCTATAAAATGAGCTCTTAGAGAACACAGATAGAGGGAGCTGTTTCACCTTCTTCTTCCCTCTCCCTCCCTCCTTCCACCCCTTCATCTTTTTGAGACCAGGTCTCCCTGTGGAACTCACTATGTAAAACAGACCTCACAGAGATCCACCTGTCTCTGCCTCCCAAGTGCTACGATTAAAGGTGTGCACCACCACACCTGGCTCTTCACTTCCTTTATAGTCTCAAAATACCCAAATAAACCCTGAATTTTTTAGGCAATTCTCACTTTGTATTTAAGATACAACAAATAAGCATCCCAAAGATACAGTTATGAATAAAGACTACACCACTACCTTGTTCCTTTTGAACACTTTTTCTGGTATGTGCAACTTTAGGGAAACAATCCATAGGATGAGGTCCAGGAGGATTGTTAATGACTGCCAGGTAACTGTGCTCATGATAGCTGAAAATAAAGTCTAGATGTTTAATTCTTCTAAAACTTCCCTATCAAATGGCTTCCCATTTGATATTCATATGCCACCCTTGTAAACATTTTTTGTAACACGGTTACTTCCATTAATCAAACATTTGTGAGGAAAGAGATACTAGTGAAAACAATTCAGCTAATATCTTAGCAAATAATCTGAATCAATCACCCTTCAAGCTTGAAGAATAAGCCATTTAAACCTTAGAAAATGTGAAGCAGAAAAATATATACAATAGAGTCAACTTTGAATAGTACTTCAGAACTCTAGCACAATAGTTAGGAGAAGAGAAACAGGAACAGAAATATAAAGTAATATTCTTTTCAAAATATCAGCCTGGGTTAAAAAAAAAAAACACTGGCTTATAAGAACAACGCTGGGGTATATTGCTAAACAGCTTTAAAAGAAAAAAAAATGAATATTCTGAATAATAGGTAACAAAGTTAAGTTATTCTGGCAGGGAGTTAGTTTCCAGCTATGAAGCTATGATGGGGAGGGAAAACATAATAAAAATAGTCCAAAGCCACTTGTATAAAGAAAGTTTGGAGGGCTAGAGAAATGATTCAGTGGTTAAGAATGTGAACAGTTCTTGAAGAGGACCAAGGTTCAAGTCCCAGCACTCATGTCAGGCAGCTTATAACTGCCTATAACTGCAGCTCCAAGGTATCAGATGCTTCTGGCCTCTGCAGGCACCCACATTCACATGCACATACCCAAACACAACACACACACACACATATGCTTAATTAAAAATAAATCTATCACTTTAAAAAATTTTTTAGCTATACTGCATTTTTATCATAACTAATATGTAGTTATAAACAAAGAAAACACAGGTTTATGACAGGCTCACAAGCTTTCTATAAAGGATCAGACAGTAAATATTTAGGAGTTACAAGCCATATTATCTCTGCTTCAACTACTCAGCTCTGCCAGGAGAGCACAACAGCAGCCACAAGAAATATGCAAATGGGGGTCAGTGAGATGACTTAGAGGGTAAAGTGTTTGATGACCTAAGTTTGAATCCCAAAGCCCATATAGTTAGTGGAATGAGAAAACCAACTTCCACAAACTGTCCTCTGACTTCCAAACACACACTGTGGCATGCGCCTGTATCCCACTAAAAGTGCAATAATTTTTTTTCTTTAAAATACATGCAAATGAGTGAGCATGGATAGAGTTCAGTAAAATTCATTAGTGGAGACTTTAATTTCAATTACATATAATTTTCATATGTCAAAATATTCTTTGTTCGGTTTTATTAACCATTTTTTTAAATGTAAAAAAACAAAAACAAAAACAAAAACTGTTCTGAACTTGAAATTCGTACCAAAACAAAATGTAGGCCATTCATAGGCCACATACTATAGTTTTCCATCTCCTGATCCAGGAGAATGGAGGCTGCCTGATTACACCAAGTAAAGACCTCCCTGGTACACCAGAAATCCTATAGCATCTCTCATTCCAAGTGGATGTTCTGCAAATGTGGATTCAAACTACATCTACCTATTTAAGAATGGCTAAGAAAGGAAGTCTCTGAAATGGCTTTGACAGAAGCTATTACAAAAAAGAAAAAATCTAGGATATATTAAGATTCAATTCTTCTCAACTCAAAGCCTTTAATCTTTCTATTGGGGATTTACAAATACAATCCTATAAACTGATAGCTTGGGTTTGTCTTGATGTTTTCTCAGGGAGAAAACAGGTTAAAAGAAATTGTTAACTTAAGAACAGAGGCCCCTAGGACCATTAGAAAGAACTATGTCCTCGGGCTCTGAGCTGATCAGGAGGCAGTGGCACTGGTAAAAGGAGGTGAGTATTCTTGCTTCTTCCTCACGCAAGTTCATTATACCATGCTCTCTGTAAGAAATTTTACTTTTTTGTTTTTTTGCACGCCTTTCATCTGAGCACTTAGGAGGCAGAGGCAGGCGGATCTCTGAGTTCGAGGCTAGCCTGGTCTACATAGTGAGTTGCAGGCCAGTTGGGGCTACTGGGAGACCCTGTCTCAAAAAGACCAAAAGAAAAATAAGAAATTTTACTTTTGTAAACAGGAAAGAGCAAACTGTATGAAAAAATTTAATCTCAAAGTAGTGAATATACTACATTTGTGAACAAAATTTTCTCATTTCTTTGATTCAGTTTCACTTGCTTCTTAGTTCTATGAATTTGGAGAAGGTGCTTATGTTCACTAACTCCCATCTTCCAGCCCTGTTTATGGATGATATTGTACTTCAAAACTGATTGGGAGATCAAACTTCGTAAGAAAACCATGTACAGGACATGAAGCAATACATAAATGCAATAAATAAATATTTTAAGGTAGGAAGAAAATAACCACACTTTTATGAAGAGGGCCAAGGCACACATGACAAAATTTAACTTTGCATTTTATCACAAGACCCAAAAGGAAAACTGAAACTTACCTGCCAACAGCATGCCCAACATTTGTCATGGCTGATGCCATTATTTCCGTGGTGAGGCTTTCAGCAAAGCTAATGCCATCTTGTCCAATTCCACTATCAGCTGCCAAACTGGTATTATTCAGTTCTCTCTCTGCTTTTTCAATGGCTTCTGCAACTATCTTCTCAGCAAGCACTGCCTTTTTGTCAAGATTAACATGAATTTGAGGCACATCAAGATGAAAGATTCTAGATTTCTGGTAGATGTTGCTAAATTTTGAATCGGAACCTGGCTTACTGCCAGCACATGAACTCTGTCTGAGAAAGTGCTGAGATGATTTTCTGCTACAATCATGGAGATCTTTAAGGTCGCAGTACCTGCAAGCTTGATTTATGAGAGGCGACAATTTTTCTGCATAAGTAATCCTATCTGCTGATTTTGCTGTCTCTGATACTTGGAAAACTGTGGATCCTAAACTTAGGTCTAAAGTATCACTCACTACTTTTTTAGCATATTGTTCTATCGCTTGAACATTCTCTCCACAATCATTTCCACTTAAGCTACCTGTACTATGGTAAAATCCACAATTCTGCAAAGGTTGAAGAGACTTAGGAAATTCTGGTTCATGAAGATACTCAGTATTGTCAATACATCCAGATTTTTCAAAAAAACAAGAATCTGTTGAGGATTTTGGCAGGTCAACTGTAGGTGCTGTCAACTGTTTCTTAACATCTCTTGTTATGCTGTTAGCAAGAGAGGCTGAAAAATTGTATAGTTCAGAGAGCACATTCCTACATGGATCTTGTGTCCTTTCACAAGTTTGATTTTTGCAAAGATGACCTCCATTTCTCTTTCTTTGTCTTTTCTTATCTATTTCTTGGTGATGCTTTTTTGAGAACAACAGTTCTTTGTTAACTTTCACTTGAGAGTTGTGCACAGGAAGCAATTTTGAATTATACTTCATTTTGGCTGTTTTAGCTGCTTCTTGCAATCCTGACTTAACAGATCGGTAAGCAAGTCTATTGGCATACTGATCCATTATTAGCTCACCATTACCACCTTCCTGTTTTAGTATTTTGATAACATGACCTGCATATTCATCTGTCACACTTTCACAACTGGGATATTTATATGTCAGGCCTGGCATGTAGGATCTTGGTAATGAAAGAACAAATGGATCTGTTTCTCTTGGATGTGCTACATCCTCCGAGACATCCAACTTCTCTTCTGTTCTACTTTGATCACCATCAACAGGACAACTGTTCCTCTTTTGCTTGAAAAGCATACAACTTCTAACTTTTGCTATTTTCTCGGCTTCTGCAATGACTTCTGCTGCCATTTTACTTGCAAAATCACATGTTCGTAGGTTTTCATCTGAATGACTTAAAAAAGCAGGCAACACACTTCTTTGACTCAGTACATTCAAGGAAAGGCTTTGAACCTTGGGTTCTTTAGTTATTTCATGATCTAAATGAGAGGCTGCCATTTCAGTTGCAAGAGAAATGATACGTGTAGCTAATGCTTCTGCAAACTGAACTTTCTTCCCTGAATTCTCTGACTTCACATCCATTTCTGGATGCTCTTCACCTTCACTGCTTTCAACTTCTTCTGAAAGAGATCGCATGAGTTTCAACATGAACTCTTCCTTTTCTATAGTATTTTGTTCACTTTCAGACAAACTACCAACAGATGAGTTGTGAGGTGTAGAGGGTGGTGTAGCAGGTGCAAATTCTTTGGCTAACTCCCCCTTGAGCTTTTTGGACAACTTCCTGATATCCCACTCAGAACTAGTCTGGGATTGTACTAAAGGAGTTGATGGAGGAGTATTAGGTATTACATTTCTGTCTCTGATTTTCTGTTTATCTTCCACATGCAAACCATCTACACAGGCAAGCACTGAAGATGAGAAAGACTGTGAGTGACGAAAAGAGCTTTCCTGTCCAAAAGTCAAGGGCTCAAGTGCTGTATTGTTCGAATTATGCTTTTTCACTGGTTTATCTTTAGCAAGTTCCCTCAAGTCAGATTTCTGACTTATCATCATCGGACATGGTGGTAGAGTCTCTAAGGAAAATCCAAGAACCATAGACTCTTTACATTCTGGAACATAATCCTTTCCAACCGAAAGTGAAGAGTAAGGCAAATTATCTTGACTATCAAGAAATTTGTGAGATTTTTCCAAGGTCAACTGTGATTCTTCTCCAAGAACAGGTAAGCATCCCTTACTTACCACATTTTTATCTATATTTGAGATCACTGATTTGCTTTTATCTATGGAATGTTTAATAATGGATTTTGATAACTGTTCAGCAAATATGTCCTTATTGCTAGCTTTGTTCTGTTGTGGTGCTGCTTGACTACAATGAGAAAGAGGAGAGGTTTTTCCTTTTATTGTTTTAGTTAAATAATCTGCATGTTCATTAACTGTTTTTGTAGCTTTGAAGGATGTCATTGACTCTAATGTTTCATTTACGATTGTATGTACCATTGCTGCAGAAAAGTTGCTTATAATCACAGGATCACTCAATTTTGGAGGATTCTGCATTTCAATATCACTGTTAGCTGGCTTAAAGTCAGTCTGCTTACCTGGATTAGGTTCTGAAGGTAAACAAATTTTTCTGAGACAATCTACTTCCTCTTCTTTGCTTTTTGTGGTAGGATGGTCTTGGGTAGAACCACCATTCTCATTACTAGGCTCAGGTGACATATGAGACTTGGACTGATACAAAGTAGATGAAATATGATATGGGAGAAGGGCACTTCCTGCCAAGGGCACTGGTATGGAAGTGACAATTCCTGAAGTACAAAACAAAGCCTGCTGCACTGTGTACTCCTTTTTATATTCCTGCACTGGTTTTGACATCATAATTGCATGACTGTTAAAAGATGAGGAAAATGTGAAGGTCTGTGTAGGTGGCACTACACTTTCTGAACTCATGTACTTGTCATTACCTGTAGAAACACTAACTGCTGCCTTTGTTGTGAAGGTCACATCAACCTGGGATAGCTCAATGAATGCTTCTTGTATTACGGATTCAGACAAATCTTTTGCATATGACTTCACAACTTTGTCTTCAAAGTCAAATGACTGACACTGTGGAGATGCAGGTGTTGGAGGATATGAAAACTGACACACTTCCATAATGCCTTCAAAAACAAGTTCTTCTGCAAGATCTGCAGCAAACCTAGCAACTACATTTGTAAATATTTGCTTCTTTACATACTGTAAGTCTTTTAAGGCATTTGATAAGGCTTCGCTCACCAGAAAATTAGCCAGGCTACTAATGGCATGTTCTTTCAATGAAAATGCATGCTGCCTTCTAAGTTCATTAAATGCCATCTGAAAAACAGATGATGTCAATTTGATAGCTAAGTCACACAATGCATTGGTACACGAAGAGACCCCTTTCTGCAAGTCTTTAAATGCATTGCCAAAACTTTTTTCCACAAGATCTGCTGCAAATTTCTGAATGCTATCTTTAATCATTAAAGATTTGTTTTTAGATTTACCTTTTTGATCAAAGTTTCCATGCTTAAAAGCTACAGTCTTTTCTCTCCTTTTAATACTATCAATATCTAACATTGTATTAGCATGCTGAGTATCAAGAACTGAACTTAGTACTTCATATGAAATGCTACTTGCATAATCTTCGTAAGTGTAATATACAGGATCCTGATTTTCATGAATTCTATCACCACCAATATCTGTTTGGCAAAAACATTCAGCAGGCATACAGCTTCCAAGAGGACTAAAGGCAGAGGATCGAATAGGGCTAAACAAACCACTGTCTTCTCCTGATGCCTTCACTGGACGAGGGGAATCTGGAGCATCACACAGGTTACCATAAGGAGACTCTGGTTTACGAGGCGTTGGCTTTTTAACATTAGCTGAAAGAGCTGGACAATCAAACTTGAATTTCTGAGGATTCATACAAGATTTTTCATGTTTGTGTCCCATCTTCTGGGATGACTTCCCTATGGAAGGATCGTTCATAAATAGACAAGAAGTCTCTAAAGTGTGTTCTAGTTCATCAAACTGATCAAAGCTATCAAAAAATTCACTTACTTCTGAGTCTGAATCCTCTACATCATCTTTCATCACAGGAATTTTAGGCAGCTCAAGTTTTGCTTTTAAACTTTTTTGATATCCCTCTTCATCCAAGAAAATTATAGGACTTGGACTTGAGCATTCAGATTCAGATGAGTAGGCAGGAGAAGAAGAAAAAAATGTCTTCTGTGTATCACTAACTTTATTTGAAGCATTAGATGACCTATAGAAACTCCTTTGGATCCAAGGCTCTGAAACTGATGTTGTAACTGAAGTTTTCATAGACGGCTCTTTCTGTCCCAGAACATTTACTGAAGATGACGGTTTGGCCAGTGACTTCTGCTGTCCATAATTAACCAGAACTTTTAAATCACGGGTTTCTAAAGGGTGACCAGAAATTGTCTGAAAAGCAGCATCACACTGACTCCTTGGTGTAGCAACATTTATTTCTATAGAAAAAGAATAAAATTTTTCAATCATTCTAGAACAAACCTTTTTAAAAATGACATTAAGCACAAAGAATTTATGCCATCAATGTTTTCTGTATTATGATGTTTAACAGAATGTTTCATTTCAACTAACACTTGGTAGTAAATATAGATTTTAGGAAAATAAACCCATTTTACCCTGTGTCTGGAGACATCTGACCAATGAAATGCCCAGCATGTTGTTATGAATGTTAGAAACATTACTAGTGACTACCAGTTGTTTTGACAGTTACTAACACAGGAAAATTCCACACACTAGGCTACTGAGGTAAACAAGGCTTAAACAACACTATCAAAGAACGGAAATAGCAAAACTAAAAAGCAGGTAACAATGACCCTAAAAATCACAGGAAAATTAATTCCTCTGTAAAAGGTATTAAAATGTTTACAACAGATAAAATTCAAACTGAATTAAGTCTTCCCTTAAAATTTCAAAACTGAGCTTTCAACTTTATTTCTAGGGAAAAAAAAGTATAGTGAAACACACACACCATCATTAGACAGCTTTGTAGTCTCTTCCTCTTCTAACTGCTCAAAAGCAGTGACAAAGTCATCCTCTATGGAAGACACAGACTGGTTCGTATCATCATCATCTTCATCAGTGGTCTCAAGTTGGTGCTTCCGATGCAAGTATGTGTCCAGGGTATACCTTATACCAGTAGCATATTTACTTAGGAGACTAAAGATAAAATCAATTCTGAGTCTTGGTAAGGTAGGTGATACTCTCATGACACAAAGCATTCCAGAATGATGACTCTTGGGAAAGATGAAAGATGATAAAAATCAGTTGTAATTTTAAATTTAGGACATTAGCTGGAAGCAAAGCCTAGAAATAAATCTTGAATAATTTTTCTAATTTTAAAAATGCATGCATACTGAAAGGTTTCCTCAATTTCTAATGTTTAATTCTTTTAAATATTTGATCTCCTGAAGAAGTGTCTAAAGAAAAAATTATTTTAATCTAAATCTCACTTTAATTTCTTATTTCTTGATTTTTTTTCTCTTATCTTTCTTACCTATATATTCAAATTCTATCTAATCTATCTCCTTAGAACCTACTACCTATTCATTAGGGAAATTATGTTTTCTATATTGTTGTATTTTTTATAACTTGTGTTATTTAATCATTTACCAACCTCACTGACTACACTGTAAATTGCTTGAAGGCAGGAACAGGTTCCATTTTACCTGTCCCATTTTCCTGTAGCTCCCAGTGTCACTCTCCCTCCTACCACAGAAGAACTGTCCCCTTTTGACATATTTCTCTAATATTAAAACATACAATACTGCTTACAGCTTTAAGAGCACAATTCATCAGTTTTTTTCCTCCACATATATTTTAAAATGCAAATATTGACAAATGACTTTAAAAATCAAAAGTCAACTATAACAGCTAATCACCTTACATTCTAACAAATAAAGCAAAATATATATGACTGAACAATTTAATCAAGGAAATGAGGCATACAGTTCTTCAATAACTAGACTCATAAAGAACAAAGCAGCATGTTAAAGCTGAAGTTATCAAGTATTAAATCCACTAGTTTAACTGCAAATGTTTTAGCTTATAACATGCAAGCATTTTTCCTTTGATGTATTATTAAAAATATTTAGTAATGAACTAAGGACTTTTATTAATCACCTATCTGAAATAACATTTTTGTTTACAAATTTAAAAAACAATTCATCATTGTTCATTTATATCGAAAATCCTTAACCTGAAAATTAGTTGAATAATCTCTAAAATATATACAAATTTGGAATGGTCATAAATAGAAGTTCCCTATGGCTTATACAAAGAAATCCAGAAAGAATATATTTTCACTAAAAAATCAGTATACATTTATAAGAGCATACATATATACGGCTAAAAGTTACTTGACAAACAGCAAAGCCAGACAGGCGATACCTTCAGTCGAGTTATTGGCCAGGATGGATAAAGGCTCTTCCAGATAGTAACCCAACATACTACTGGAAAAATGAACAGCAGACCCCAATTCTATCCAAAGGAATACTGACAATGGATTGCCGTAGATGAGGAACAGCTGACCCTCCTGGAACAGGGACCTCTGGCTGACTAGATTTACCAGAAGGGCAGATAGGGGGGAATAGATGGGGGTGCTGACAGCACAGTGGACAGTGGCAGGGATGGCAGAGTATGGAGGCTCTAGTGGGAGAGGAAGGCTGTCTATCTGACGAGTTTATATTCATGCTCAGATGCCAAGGAACTCAGAAAGTAAGCGACTGTGACCAGTAATAGTCATATATATAGAGATTAGAAATGCATGTGAAAACGTCTCAATGTCAATTGCCTTAAAATGAATTTTTCTGTAGGAAACTGTGTATTTTAACAACGAAGTGGAGATCTTTTTTAAACGTTAAAACCTCATTTAATTTTATGTCTTATAGAGTTTATAATGAGTAAAAGATTGTATAAGCGTAATAATTCATCTGTAAACCTAAAAATGTACAGCCAATTTTGAAAGAGATGTACCCTAGCTCAGAAAAATGTTATTGAATAGGTTAATGCTGTTGTAATGAAATGCTTCTTCTAATTAAAAAAAAAAAAAGATCTATTGTATGAAATGCACAAAAACTCAATAAAAGTATACACAAGAAAAAAAAATCAGTATACATTTGCATACCACTGCAAAAGTTCATAGATAGAAATTTTAATTTATTAGCTATGATTCAAAAATGTCAATATTTTGTAAATTATAAGTATTATTTCCTTGAGACTGGATTAAAATAATAAGAAAAGCTTCAAATACTTAAAATTTTAACATTACTAACCAAAACAGTAAAATTTTCCCTGAAAAAATATCATTTGTTAGAAATGATTCACAAGTTACCTGATTTAGAGGGCCATTATTTATATCTGATGATTTATTTATATCCTTCATACAAATAATTTCATTTTCACTTAGACTGCAGAAGTGGAATGAATTCAGAAGGTCTGGAAGTTCCAAAGAAACTGCAGCTAAATCCTAATTTAAAATAATAAAAATAAATAACACTACAGAATAACACTGATAAGGTTTCCACAATGTGGTCAATATCCAAAAATCATGAAATATAGTAGCTAATAAATTTGATGTTTAATAATAGTTCACATAGATAGTTTACTATATCAATTTTCAAAAACTCAAAAATAAGGTATAATAAAGGTATTTGTTACTCATGTTCCTATAATCTTTCAAAATTACTGTTATCAAGCTATATCATCAATTTAATGTGGCATCTCAGACATCTATGACAATTAGCATTACATAGGTTTTAGCAAATGTGAATCTGGGTTTATCTCCAGAGTTTTTCATATAGAATTCTGAAGCTATGAAATAATATTTCTATTTTTTCTTTTTTTTTAATATTTTATTTATTACTTTTGGGGGGGAGGTCTTTTTGAGACAGGGTCTCCTTGTAACCCCAACTGACCTGGAACTCGCTATGTAGACCAGGCTGGCTTTGAATTCACAGAGATCCTCCTTCATCTGCCTCCCTAGTGCTGGGACCAAAGGCGTATGCCACCATGCCCAGCTTATTTATTACCTGTATGAGTGTATTGCCTGCATGTGAATAAGTGCACCCATGTCATGCAGTGGCCGCGAAGGTCAGAAGAGGGCGTCAGACTTCCCTGGAACTGGAGTTAGGACAGTTGTTAGCTGCCATGTGGGTGCTGAGAATCTAACCCGGATCCTCTGCAAGAGCAACCAGTGCTCTTAACTGCTGAACCATCTCTCTAGCCCCAATATTATGTCTATTCTTCTTAAAGGTACTACAGTAAGTCTTCAAAATTTTATGAAAGTTAAAGGAAAAAAATAGTTTTTTCTTTGTTTGCCCTTCTTTTGTAAATATTTTACACAACTAAAGAATTAAAGTCTTTGGCCCTTCGAGGTGCTTTGCATTGTAAACATGGTTTCATCAGTGCTCCTGAAAAGTATGAGAGTACTTAGGAGCTTTCTCTCTCCAGTTGTGGTTTTTGTTTGTTTTGATTTTTCTGAGATAGTTTCTCTCTGTAGCTCAGGCTGGCCTAGACTTCACCATGCAGCCCAGGCTGACCTCATGGTCATTCTCCTGCCTCAGCGTCCCAAGACCAGTACATATTTATATGTTCTCAAGAGTATGCTCTCTCTCTTCCTTGTGTCTAAGCTATTTGCTTCCAACTACGGCAATCAAGAAACACAACAGAGTCTTCATTCAAAATCATCAGTAAGAACTGGACTAATGCTCCTAGGGATAATTTTCCTAATGCTCCTGCAGTAGGAGATACTTCACAAGCACAAAAGGAAATGTAGCAATCACCAATTTTCAAGCAACAGCAAAAGAAAAAATAGTACATTTACTACCTTTATGCAGTTATCAAGTTTTCTTTCACTGACCCCAACTTCAGATGCCAGTCTCTCAAAAAAAATGCCTATGCAGGGTCTGGAGAGAAGGCTCAGTGGTTAAGACTGCTCTTGCAGAGGATCTAAGTTAGAGTCCCAGCACCCACATGGTGGCTATGAACAGTCCTTAACTCCAGTTCCAGGGGAATCCGAAGCCCTCTTCTCTGAGTCGCAGCACTGCATGACATGGGTGCACTCACATACATGCAGGCAATACACTCATACACATAAAATTTAAAAAAAAAAAAAAAGGCTATATAAACAGGCTATAATTTGTGCACTGGTTAACTCTGACTTCTTACAAATTTGATATTTTATATTTAATTCTATCTCAACTAAAAATATAAGAACTTTTACTATAGAAGCCAAATTATGAAAATCATCAAAATAAAAAAATTGAATGTTACACAAAATATAAAGGACAGAATGGAGAAAAGATCAGTCTGTGATTTAGAGCCTTCAGATAAATAATTTTAATAGTTAAATCTAAAGCTCCTTTCCATAGCAAGAATTAAAAACAGAAAACCTCAGCACTTGAAAGGCTGAGACAGGAGGATTGTTGCAAGTTCAAGGCCAAATAAGGATACATGGCAAGACCCTGTCTCAAGAACAACAAAAATACTGTAAAAATGCTGTAAATGAAAATGTAAAAAATATACTCAAAAGTTGACCTCAAATGTCACTTTTTAACTTTAAAGGATTCCTTAAAAATTCAGTATAAGTTGGCATTAAACTTTTCAGATGCTAAGTTTTTGTAAGTAATCATTCACAGTTCCTTGCTAATTCAATAAACTGACCACACCTGTATATGAGCAGCATCTGTTTCTTCATTAAAGCCCAGAAATGTGACCTGAATAAAAAAGAAATCTCTATTAACTTGACTTTTTAAGTCTTGTCTCAGATTGTTGACAGAGCCCAAAACAGGAAAAGGCACAGTAAAACATGACAATGCTGACTACCTTGGATCAGATAATTTTTTCAAAGATGATCAGGCTTTTCCCCAAAAAATTTACCTCCATACTGCAGTTCTTGAACCTCATCTACACATCATCCCTCACTAGTGAATTTAATCAACTTTACCCTCAAAGTTTATTTCAACAACCCCCACTTCTCTCCATTCCTGCTGCCAACCAGTCTACCGGCACTACCACCATCTCTTATACCTAGTCCCACTGCTATGCCACTTGTCCCTGCTTCCCAGGAGAAAATTTTAGTGTGGTTAGCTGATACCATCAGGTTTCTTTCATTTTCATTCAAACCCAGGGGCCCTCTTTCTAGGTCTAGAAAGTACCCTGTACGCTTAAAGTTATTGAAGCTGAGCCCCACTAATGTGTTGAGAGCAGGCGAGCACAGGACGCTTGTCAAACTTAGCCAACAACTGAGAAGATTACAAGTGGCTCTGCTTTACTAAAATAAAGTGAAAGAGGGCAGCAAAAAGAGCCATAAAAATTAAGCTAAGGCAAAAAATGGAGGGGGCTACATAGGCAGCAGAACACCATAAGCCTAATAGGTAACACTCCTCTGCTTATGGAATGACATCAGGTAAAGTATTTCTCAAGAAATATGAAAGAAAATTTTACCCCAATAAGAATCAAGGTTTATTAGAACACTCATTTTTAAAAAATGTCCAACTTTATATATCCATCAATTTGAAACCTGGAAAACCTAGCATCACATTTTTTTTTGGCAGAACTGGGGTACTGAACCTAGGACCTGGCACATGTTAGGTAAGTGTGCTACCACCAAGTTAGACTCTCAGAACCCAATACCATATCTCCTATTTGGCAATAATCAATGTGATGATGAAATAAGGATGTTTCTTTTTAAAAATCTTACTCCTTTTTATTACAATAAATTCAAACTGATTAAAGGTACTGGATATACTAAACAAGTGAACAAGCTACAGACACAATATAATACAAAAACATATATGGTAATACCTTAATTCTGACAAAACTCAACTTTATATTTTAAATCAAAGCACTGAAACAGTCAAGAAAAGGACTTAAAAATGACTACATGAAATAAGCATACTTTTTCTGTTTCAGGATGAAAGAACTTAGTATTAATCATAAATACAGTAGGAATCACTAAATACAGTCATTATCTGTCCATTAGTAGACAGTAACTATGCACTGAATTAAACGGGCTTATTATAATACATTAAGCCAATTATGCTAGCTAATATTTAAAATAGGCATTTCTAATACTTATACTAGTATTATGCAGAGATTTTAAAAACAGAACATGCAGTCCTACAAAGATGCATGAAAATACATTGTGCATTATTAGCAAAGGATTCAGAAAACAGTATGTCAAACCTCAGTTAAACTGGTATGTTCATCCTGGTTTAAACAGTCCTCTCCTGATACACAGCATAGTTCCTTCTCACTCTGTAATAAAGACTTTACAGATTGGAACACATCTTCACTGAAACTCTGAGAAATAAATAAGTTCATTATAAGACAAAGTAAGAAATCTTGCAGATATTTCAGTTTTAGATAGTTACTCCTCCAATTAATTCATTTGACACCTTTTAATACTGTTTGCTGAGCTGAATTGAGTCAGCTAAGAAGAAAAGTTCTGCTCATTGAAGATCATACAGGCCTCATACTCCAAGCTGACTTACTCTTACCTCATGCTAAGACTAATAAACTGCATATATGATACCCAAGGCACTGGGAGACCAGAAACAACAACTCATAAGTGAGATGGTATAGGAGCCAGAAAAAGGCATACTAGCAGTAGTGATTATTCCCTTAAAAATAAGAGACAAAAAAAAAAAAGTAACTAGTAACTAAAAATAAGGTTTTTCAGAGCACCTGTAGGAAAATAAGGTAGGAGATTACAGACCTAGAAAAGGGGGCTGGGGATGGAGAGATGGCTCAGTGGTTAAGAGCACTGGCTGCTCTTCCAGAGAACCTAGGTTCGAAGCCCAGCTACTGTCTGTAACTCCAGTTCCAGGGGATCCAATGCCCTCTTCTGGCCTTCACAGGCATTGCAAGACAAAGGTGTACTTACATACATGCAGGCAATACACTCATACACATAAAATAAATATTAAAAAAGAAAGCTGTTACAAATGTAAGAGACCAGAGAAGAGAAAAAGTACACAAAGGAAGTAAGAACATTACAGTCAGACAGTCATTACAGCATCAACTTTCTACCTTCATGATTCATACCTTCATTATTCCTCTTCTGATTTGTTCACCTGTGTTTCTATCACCAGTTCCTCAGTCTTGCCCTACTCATTCCAAACTAATGAAGATTTTCCCCATTCCTTAAGTTTAATAAAAACTTTTCAAAGTTTCTGCTAAACTTTACACATTAAGGTCATGTCACCTAATCAATACCACAACATATGATCACTATATTTATATACTTATTTTCTTGTCCATTAAACCAAATTATAGTTTCTATAGAAACTACACCCTCTACACAGTGAGTTTCAGGCCAGCTGGGGCTACAGGGAGACCCTGTCTCAAAAAACATTTTTTAAAGTTACTGGAAGAGAGGATACTCATACTTTTCAAACTATTCCTATATAGATTATTTATCAATCATTCAATCAAATTTATATTGCAGTTGTATTGGAGCTAACCGGTGATTACAATCCTGGCCACCTCCTCAACAGCATCAACAATACATTCCTCCGGATCCGATAGAGTAGGATTAACAAACATTGTCTTTGTGGTGTTCCTGAAGAACCTAATTACAAGGAAAACCAATATGGTGATGACCTACAGGACAAGTGGCCCAGATTTTTACAAAAAGTTAATGCCATGAGAAAAGATCCAGGATACTGGAAAGGACTAGGATGGGGGAAATAAAAATACTCAAATGCAGTATGTGAACCTTAGGTGGGCCCTAGGTAAAAAGCAATAAAAAGTTACAAGGATATCTGAGACAAGGGAATCTATGTACAGACTATGTGTTAGATGTGCTACTGATTGATGATTTTCTTATGAATGGAAAAAACAATGGCATATAATATAAAAGTCCGTAGGGCTTTTCTCAAAAGAATGTATATGGCAAAATGCTAAAAGAAGGAAATCCAAGTAGACTACATAGTTACTCATTGTTCACTATTGAGTAGGCCTTGAAAATACTCAATATTTGGGATCAGAGAGATAGCTCAGAGGTTAAGAGCACTGGCTGCTCTTGCAGAAGACCAGGTTCAACTCCCAGCACCCACATGGCAGCGAACAACTGTTTTTAATTCCAGTTCCAGGGGATCCAACACCCTCTTCTGACCTCCGCGGGCACTATACAACAGTTACATGCACACAATACACTCATAAATATAAAAATAATAAATTTTAAAAGTACTCAATATTTGAACAATTTTGTCCTTGTTAATAAATGGAGGCCTCACACTAATTTATGATCACAAAAACCAAGAAAAGAAAAAAAGCTCATATTTATGAGCTTAACTATCAATATAAACTCATGATAGTGTTTCCATATGCTTTTCAGGGTTCTTTGAAAAATAGCCAATACCAAGTCTAAGAACAGTAAAGTAGGTGAAATTTTATTATCCTAACCAAAAAGATATAACCAGAAAGCAAAGAAGCAGTCAAATTATAAGTCTGAGACAAAAGGAGATATGCAGCAGCCTAGAGGGGCTCCCAATCACCTATCTGGGGACAGTATGAGTAATTTTTAAAAATTAATAGACACAAGTCACTACAAATAAAACCTTGTTAAAAACAGATTTAAAAAAAAAAAACAACCTTGAGTTCAGGGGAGCAAAAATAAATAAATGAGGGTAAATAAATGTACTTGCCACCATGAGAAGTGACTATTACACTAAGTCATGAATCTGAAAACTGCTAATTAAAAGGCCTTTCCTCTTTCCTCATCCACCTTAGAAGCATTATCTTCTCCCATATGAGCATTATCAAGAAGGAAGTTATCAAAATAGAGTAGAAAAGCAAGAAAAATACCATAATGAAACTCAAAGATGGTCCTAACAGGCAAAAACTGGTCAATAGTGTCATAGAAACAAAGTCTAGGAATTAGGTTAACAAAAGCAACTAACCATCCTCCAGTCTCTGTTCTCTTCTTCTCCCTTTAAGTAATGCCTCAAAGTTTCAGTAAAGACAAAAACAAAGTAAGTCAAGATACAGACTAACCAAATTCTTTTAAGAGATATAGTATGGCAATTCTTACTCATACTATAAAGGGTTATGAATCATGTTTCAGTCAGATTGGTGACATAGGCTTATAATCTTAGCTATTTAAGAGGAGAAGGCAGGAGGATGGCAAGCTCAAGGCCTGCATGGGATACAAGCTAGCTCAAGGCCCGTCTATTATTAACACAGTGAGACAGTACCTTAAAAGAAAAAGTTAAAAGGCTGGGGGGGAGGGGTAAGGGGACGTTATACAGCTCTGCAGTAAAGTACTTGCCTAGCATCTGCAAGACCTTGGGTTGAATCCCCATTACAGACACAAATCATTTTTTTTAATTTATTTTTATTTTTTATGTGTACAAGTGTTTTACCTGCATGTATGTGTGCCAACCCAGAGGCCAGAAGAGGGGGGTTAGATCCCCCCGAACTGGAGTTACAGATGATTGTGAACCATCATGTGAGTGTTGGGAGCCAACCCCAGGTTCTCTGGAAAAGCAGCTAGTGCTCTTGACCACTGAGCCAACTCTCCAGTCCACACAGATCATTTTTCATTTGCTCACTCCTAATTATCCAACATCTAGCACAGGCCTGACATACAATAAGCACACAATTCATTTATGCTGAATGAATGAGTTGTTAGCATTTCTTATATATTCTGAAGGTAGCACTAACGGCATATAAAGTACATTCCTAAAAAAGCACATGGAAATGACCCATTGGAAAGAAATGGGGAAGAGGTGCTGTGCTCTAAGAAACAAAGATTTTTAGGGAAAAAAATCATGGCAATCATGACTTTATATTACTGTTTTCATACATGCTCATTTTTGTAATATTTTAATGTTACTAATTTAAAGAATAAGAGTCACTTAAAAACTATCATCACCGTATGTTTCAAAAAATCCCATTATTTTTCTTTAAAGTTTCACTGAACAGAACCTAATACAGTGAACTTACTTTTTTGACAGATGCTTTATTCTTCATGTGACTGTTTCTGAAAGGCTGGAAAGCTGCCATTGCTATGACTATGGTAATATAATCACTGAAAAGTAAATACACAAAATACCTAAAGGAAACATATTAAAAGGAAACAGTTTACTGATCTTTGTAATTCAAGTAAGCATTTTACACTAAAATTATTTCTTCAATCTTAGACATTTAAAGAAATATATGAACAAAAATACTGAAACCAAAAAATTTACTTAGCAATCCAACAGGGTGAATATGGGTACCTTAATGAGACAAAATTATTATGAAAATCTTGGTTTTAGGTTCATAATTATAGTTTACCATTACTGCTCAATCTCACTATCCCCTTTAGTTGCAAAGTCTCAATAAAGATTATTGGAAAAACTTTTATACATCTTGGACAGTAACAGAAGAAAAAAAAATCCCAGTTTTCATATCTCCCAAAGTCACTCATCTCTTTAGCAACACTAAATACTGCAGGCATTCTTACCTCTTGAACAGAAAGTTTTGATATTACACATATGAGAATAGGAAATATGTACATATATTATAAAATTACTAATGAACAAAAACAAATTCCCTATCTGGAAGTTTAAGAGCTTATCAACAACTAAAGTTCAGAAAACATACCAGTTAAATGATTAGTAGTCACACATACACATACACATACACATACACACACACACACAAAACCTTAGGAGAAACTCTCAAACTATATTTTAGCTTTTTAATAATGCACTCATAAAAACCTTTGAGAACTTAAATGAACTCAGGACAATAATTAGTAAGTACCTATATCTGACTGGACAACCCTGTCCATTCATTTAAGATCTACTTATACCACATGGTAAGGACAGGGGGAAGAAAAGACAAATATGGTCCTATTAGATCCAAAGCCTTGTAAGGAAATGTTTTATTATAGTAAAGGGTAGAAGCAGAGAACTGAACTCTAAGTAACAAAAAATTTAAAAAAAAAATTTAAGAGCAGCTTAGTTTCAAACATCTTCATTTAATCAAACTGATCTCATCAAGAACTGCCTATTTGAAGTTTCCAAGACATTTACTTAAGAACAATTTCACTCTAGCTCCCTCTTCAGATTAAAAAAAAATTTTTTAGTAAAGTTCTAGCATTTTCCATTTTCATACTTTTACTACATAGAGACAAAACTGAAGTGTGAGTATACTTCACATTATCATCTCTTCTTAATTTTAATGTTTTTAATTTAGTTAATATTATTGTGGGAGGGTATATACATGCAACAGCACACATGTGAAGGTCTCTCCTTCCTCCGTGGATTCTGGCTATCAAAATCAGGTCATCAGGCTTACATTTTTATATACTGAGCAATCTTGCTAGCCCTAGATTTTCAAATCTTTAAATAATTATAATGGCATTCTATTCTCTGTAATAATAAAATTCGACTACTGAAATTGGAGCAGCATAAAATGACCTCAGTGATACAAGATAGTTCCCAACAGCACAAGATGAAGAACATAAAGGACTATCTACAGAAGGTCACTCATGTCCCTGTCTCATGTTCCTCCAGGTAAATTAGTGTTTCTGGATCTGTTTCCTTAATGTATGCAGCACCCTACTTACAGGACAAGTTTATTATGAGTATCAAATGGAAAACAATTTATGGAAGTACTTTGGAAAGTATAAAAGGCAAAAGAAAAACTAGGTATGAACCAAAATGATCACAAAGACCTAAGTTGCCAAGCAAGATTGAAGTACAAAGGTCTATGTAAACAAGACAGGAAGATGATCCTTTCCTTTGCCCCAAACAAATTCACTTTCTCTCTCTCTCTCTCTTTTTTTTTTTTTTTTTTTTTTTTTGTGGTCTTTTTGAGACAGGGTCTCCCTGTAGCCCCAGCTGTCCTGGAACTCACTATGTAGACCAGGCTGGCCTTGAACTCACAGAGATCTGCCTGCCTGTGCCTCCCGAGTGCTGGGATTAAAGGCGTGTGCCACCACGCCCGGCTACAACATTCTTTTTAACTGCCAGAAATCCTTAGAGACAAATGGACTTGCCCCAAGCTTCACATAAAACATAAAACACACAGGCCAAAAAGAAATTTACAGAAAAGCAGAAACTGTCAAGATTAACTCCCAATACCTTTCTGTAGGCTACTTCATAAGCAAATCAAAAAGGAGAACATCTCTACTTTTACCCAGAAACACTTCAGGAAAGGGAAGGAAAGCAAATCACGCAGACCCACTCAGCAATGGCACAGCCTACATTCAAATCCAAATTTTCTAATTTCAGCAACAGGAGCTCTTAAGTATTCCTGTCTAGTATGCAAAAGTCTGAGAACCTCTTCATCACACTGCATAACATAAATAAGAAGCAACCTAGATACCAAAACCAAATAACCTTAGGTTCATTTCTCCCAATGAAGCAATGGCAAATGTAACATCTTACTGTCTAGATGAGCTGCACAGCATTAGGTGAGGCATGTCCTAGAGGCAAGAGACACAACTTCAAAAGGGCATGGGAAGAGGGAGAAGGCCTAAATGTGGACAATATTCTGGATGTGACAAGAATGGGAACCCAGACCACCTTACTCACAATATTCCTGATGGCTGCTGCAGGCAGAACACTCTTACTCAAGGAAGAAGAATAAAGCAACTGAAATCCAATATGGAACCTATGAAAGAACATTTAAGAAAAAACAAGTAAGACTACATGCAAACAGAAAGATGGTCCAAATATAACCATGTCCCTTGCAAAATTCACATTATTTAGTAGCACCTCAGAAATTAAATCACTGTTTAAATAAAAATAAAATTAAGCTTAGTTTCATATTACACTATACTTCATTCATGAAAACAACAAAAATCTACTGGCCTAGCCTACTCTGCCATTTTGTGTTTAACTTGAAGTAGAATACTGTCTTACAATAACCTAACAGAAAATATCTGTGCAATATGAAAGCAAATACCATGAGATGATATGACACACTTCTGGAAAAGCAAAGAAAAAAATGTTTGGAAATGATGCAAAGACAGACAGGGAACCAAAAAAAAAAAAAAAGAAAGGCAAAGGTGGGGTTTCCTTACCTTATAGACCTGGAAAGAATATAGCTTCAGATTGAGTAAACATACAGTATCTTCCCCTAAAATAACTTTATAGTAAACTTCACACTATAATGCTTGTTTGTTTTATGCTCTATTCTGGATGAATTAAACAGAATTATATGCAGGGAATAACAGTCATAGTTTAAAAAAAAAAGTGAATTTAAATTTGAAAAGAAAGATAAGGGGGGTGGGCAAGCAGAAGGCAAACAGCTGAAATCTGAGGGGCGAGACTTCAGAAACAGAAAATAAAATACCACTAAAAAAACAAAAACTCCTTGGGGCTGAAGAGATGGCTCAGTGGGTAAGAGCACTGGCTGCTCTTGTAGAGGACCTGAGTTCAGTTTTCAGCACCCACATGGCAACAAACAACTGTCTGAAACCCCAGTTCTAGGAGATCCAACCCCTCTTCTGGCCTCTGTGGAGCACTGCACACATGTGGTGCACTTACATACATGTAGGCAAAACATTCATACACATAAAAATAAAATTTAAAAAAATTTTAAACTAAAATCTCTTTAGGAACACTAAAGCAATATGTAACAGATTTAATACAGACAACAGTAAATGTACTTAATAGAGAGAAACCAAAATGCATAAACAAAGCAATTAGAGAAACAATTACAAATAACGCAGAGAACAAAGATATAGCGCAATGAACAAATACGCACCCTTTGAGCCTGAAATTTCACTTCTCAAAATTTCCTTACATAGCCACAAACTATGTGAATAAAATTCACAAAAATATGTGAAAGACTGCACTGAGTCAAAAACCTCAAAGTAATCTATAAGTTCATTGATTTAAATAAATTCAATTTATTATTACCCAGGTCTGAGAAGAACGAGTTTGAGTAATATACACTGGAGTAAAATACACTGCAGTATTGTAAAATGCTGCAAATAACTTGAGATCAATACACAGACTACTCTGGATACATGTGTGTTTGAACGAGCCTAGAAAATGTCTTGAAGATGGTATGATAAACTAATGACAACGATTCTTTCAATGTTACAAAATGCCATCTATCTGATATTATGGGGAAAAGACAAATTATCAAGTAAAGTTAGGCCAGTTCCAGCAAGCCTGCATTATTCCATTCTGTATAAAATCTGTGTAACTGTGTATGTAATACAACATAAAAAGGATATACTTTAGACAGGTACAAACAGTTGTTTTATCTAGATAGACGTATTTTTCTGGATGCACATTAATTCCTTAACAACAACAACAAAAAAGTCCCCAAGCCTTCCTACCCACCTCTGGCTTAACAAATGTTCAAGTCAACATCATCTATAACTTGGCCATTTTTATAATCAAGAGAATCAGGTATAAAATATCTTTCTAGTCTTCTTTCAATAGTGTTGTCTACCTTATGACTCACCTCCTATGGCACTAGGCCTCCAAATAACTCAGCTTATATCTAACACATACACAATGCACACTTATTCCTAACACACACATACACACACACACTTATTTCTAACACACATGTGCACACAACTCAAAAGATCCAGTTATCTCTCAGACACTTATTCTTTGTGTGTGACCAGGTGTGGAACACTCTAACAGTCTCCAACTGTTGCAAAAAAAAAAAACCAAAAAACAACTTCTCTGATGAGTGGTGAATGGTATACTCTGTAAATGTAAGGACCTATATTTAGCATACAGTAAGAAATGACATTTGTCTAGGGATATGACAGAGGTAGGGTTTTCTCTAGGATCTATGACATCTCCAGCCATGTGTATTTGGCTAAGTTTATAGTACCACCCATAAGCTCCTGCCCACTGAGAGAGATTTAAGTGTAAGATAAAAGTACCACTACTGCAGTGCTATAGTCTGTAGTGCCAGCCATTGTTGTGGTTACTAGGCTTTAAAGCTGGGTTGATTTTCTCCCTTAGCAGCTTGCATAGCATTCTCCAGAACTATGAGAACTAGCCTTCAGAGAGGAGGTTTCCAGTTCAGTTCAGGTCCATCGCTCCATGTCCTGTGTCCAAAGTATGACATATCCTCAACAACAGGGTCTTGCTAAGTTCTAGGAGATAATCAAGGGCAGTGGCAACAGCCTGTGTTATTTGGAGAGTCTCTTGGATTACCCAGACCATCAGGGAAAGGACAGATAGTAAGAGTCAGGATTGGTGCATGATCATAAGGAAACAGTCTTCCAGGCCTCTGGGAATTTGTTCATATGAACTTAAGCAGCAATGATGTCAGCATGCACAAGTCCCATGCAAACTCTGACAAAACAAACAAACAGCACCAAAAACCCAGCACAGAACTGGAGAAATGGACATCAGGCCCCACACTTAGCAGAAAAACTATTGGCAGTTGATTACTGTTGGATGAGGGAGCCTTTATCTTCTATAACGGAGAGACTCTAGATAGGCTGACTAGTCTTCAGTGGATGAACCTGCACTGAGGGACATCTGGGTACACAAGCTTAATATATATGACAGAATGGGGGGGCTACAGAGGAGTGTAGATTGGGGAGGGGGTATAAAGATGATTTAGATGTTTTGTATGAAGTACACAAAAATTCAATAAAAATATACACTGAAAAAGTCAGGGACACAGAAAAAAAAAAAAAAGGAAAAGAAAAAAAGATCCAGTATTATTGGGTCTACTCAGTATTTCTTTGCCTTCATCAGTGTCCTCCTTGGTTTTTTTCCTATTTAATTTCCCAAGGATATTTTCTCTCTTCCTGTGGTCTGAACTATGCAAATAAGTTCCTAATTTATAGTTTCAATTCAATTATATGCCTCAGTTTCAATTCCTTTCATCCAAATGCTCTATCAGACGTTTCCAATTAAGCATTTCTGTTGGGTTTAGTCATGACTTGTCCCCCAGAGGCTCCCGTACTGGAGAGCTGGTCACCAGGATAGCAGTTAGGAAACAGTGGAACATTTAAGAAGTAGGACCTAACTGGGAAGTAGTTTAGGCCCTGGTTTACAATTCTCATAAACGAATTAATGCTGTTTCATGGCAATTCTAGTTCTCTTGAGACTAGATTAGCGCTTTATGAGCCCATTCCAGTTCCCTAGTTTCCTGTCCTACCATGTGATCTCTTCCTCCTGTATACAATCAGTCCATATTATCTGTTATGTTGAAGTATATTCCAGAAAGCTGTGAAAGTAGGGCTGCCCAATCTAGAACTTTCAGTCTCTAAAACTGTGAGCTAAACAAATCTCTTCTCTATAAATACCTCACCTCAGGCATTTTCTTATAGCTACAGAACTAAGGCAATCTAAGTTACTACAAAATAAATATGCTTAAAATCTGAATAAAACTTTCTCTCTTAAACACTCTCCATTCTCTATTTCAATAAGAGCCAATAAAGCAACTTCCATAGTCAGCCATGCCTCTCCTTCAATTCCCTACTGGCGATCACATCTAACAGATTACCAATTCCTGACTTGTCATGCTCCACAAGCTACCCTCATTTCCATCAGCTTAAACTACACTAACTCTTCATGGATCAGTTCACAGAACTCACTCTCTCTGAGCAAAGCTTGGCTCATCTCTCATCTTTCTCTCCTTCCCAAATAGTCAAGGCTTTCCAAGTGGTTTGTCCATTAATCTGGTGACACTATTTTCAAACTTCTCTCTTGTGAGCTCCTTGGGATAAAAATATTTTGTGTGTTTGTATTTTAACAGGGAGGCATTCAAATACTTGCTAACAAAAAATTAATCTTGTATCACAAGAGTGGCAGACACTAGTAATTTCAGACTCAAAGCTGAGGCACGAGGATTGCAAGTTGAAGGCTGATGTGGACCTGAGTGAGACCCTTTCTAAAAAAAATTTTTTTAAATAATCTTGTTTAAATGGTAAAGTATGGGGCTGGAGAGGACTCCACTTGACTGCTTTTGCAAAGAGCATTGACTGCTTTTACAGAGGACCTGGGTTCAGTTCCCAGCACCTACAAGGCAGCTAATATCATTCTACAACTGCACTTCCAGGGAATCTAACACCCTCTTCTGGCCTCCACAGGCACTGCATGCACAAGTGTACTTACATACATGCAGGCAAAACATTCACACACATAATAAAAACAAATAAAAATTTAAAAAATAAAATATAAAGAGTAAAATAGATCTTCAAATAGATATCTGCATTTAATGACTTATGAAGTTTATGACAATTTCTATTTTATAGTGTTTGAGCTATATAATTAATGTTCCAAATATATTCTGACCAAATACCAAATGGTCAAGTGTTAAAAATTAATTTTCCACTGAACATAACTATAACAAAATAGTGCAAAGTACACATGAAACACTAGTTTTCCACAGTGCAGGACTGTGTTTGATCTCTTTAAGAAAGCTACTTCCAGGACACAGCACAGGGACAGGAAAGCCAAGTAGTCTGGAAGTCAGTTAGTTTTGGAGACAAAGTCTGGAGACAAACATGGCTCATATTCATAGGACACAGTACTAAAGGGAGAATGCAATGGAAGCAAGAGCTACAGGTCTACAGAAATGTTTTCCTGTAATTTTTGGCCAAATACTACCTGAGTACCTGAGGTTGGGGAAATAGCCAGAGAGCAGCAGAAACAATACTTGAGGTCAAACTGAGC